GTGTTCGGAGGCCCAATCCCCCCCCCCCATCAACATGGTAGCGGAATTAAATAACAAACTACCGCAGGAGGGTACCAGCACCCCTAGAGAATCCCTCGCTGAGCATCCACGACCAAACTACTCCACTGCTGGGCGTGCGTGCTCAGGCTGCCCCGTGTATTCTGGGGAGGGGGGAAATTCCACTCGTGACTAATACTGCTCGGGCCAAGCGGATCAATAAGACCAAGGCGACGCCTTTCACGCTATCCGTGAATTTTTGCAACATCAGGGGACTTCATTCCAACCTTAACGCTGTTTATTACCATCTAATGACGGCGAAGACAGCATTGCTCTTTTTAACCGAGACTCAGGTGTCCTCTTTTTTTTATATGATCGGGTGACAAACGAGCACACAGTCCACCTGATGGTAAGTGGTTACTGTGACCCATAGACATCTACGTCAATCCTCAATAAAGACTCAAGATGCAGATGCGTTGTCACCCGTGAGGAGTAAGATGGAATGCCTCTTTGCACGTAAAAAGGGTGTCCGGTTCTCTACACTCTCCATACGAAACACAGCAGCGTTAAGCTGCAATTTTACGCTGGTTTTCTGTGAGAGTGTGGTCCTTCCCCGGTCGAGCCGACCCATTCGTGCTACAAATATACTACTAATATAGCTGCAGCATGGCTCTACCACGTAGAACTCCTCTCCGGCTGATACTTCATATCTCTCCTACCCGGGGTACAAATTTGAACACTCCTTTGTGCCCCGGGCTAGAGTTTGCGTAAACGTCAGAGGGGACATCTGTTTTCGACGCCTCGGCAGTCTTGAAGGTACGGATCTGTCCATCCTATGGCTACGCGTAAACAGCGAAGACCATCCCCGCATCTACGGGTGCCTCTGTAGGTCCCATGGCGGTAATGCCGACACATACAGACTCATCGACCACGTCCAAATAGCTGCAGACTCCGTGCTAAAACAGGTCGTCCCATCCGCAAAGATCGTGATACTCGGTGATTTTAACGTCCACTACGTTGAATGGCTTCGGTCCCGTTTAACCGATCATGCGAGTAGATCTGTGTATGACTTTTCCTTGGCACATCGTCTAACTCAACTGGTTACTACGCCTACGCGTATCACAGATGTGGAGGATAATGTACGTTCCCTGTTGGACCTTCTGCTGACCTCTCATCCGGACGGACATCAGGTCTCCGTCGATGCCCCTCTGGGCTCTTCGGACCATTGTTTGATCCGGAGTAAAGTGCCACTCACGCTCCCATCGCAGATGCGATCTGCAGCTTGTCGCCGTGTTTGGCACTATAAGTCGGCCGATTGAGACGGGATGCGGTCTTTTTTTGCATCCTACTCTTGGGGGTGGATTTGCTTATTGCCGGAAGATCCCAGCGTTATTTCCGATTCTGTTGCTGATGTGATACTTCAGGGTATGAAACTTTATATTCAATCCTCTGTGGTGCCCATCAGAGGCAGATCCCAGCCATGGTTTGGCCGCTCCTGTAAAATAGCATCACGTTATAAGCAGGAGTGCTACCGGACCTGGGCTGACGCATCAAGGTCTCGGGATGTAAACACCATGCGCTCTTAAAAAGAACTATAATTCCGCCTCCAGGTCCTTCAAAAGTGTTGCCAAGACAAAGTCAGAACACATGGGCAGAATTGGCGAGAAAATAGTTCGCCTCCCTTCGGGAACACGTGCATTCTGGTATCTCGCCAAGGCTATCCAAGGGAACTTCTGTCAGCCATCTCTGCCATTTCTGCACAGGGTAGACGACTCACTGGCCCATGACGCAAAGGAGCAAAGCCGATATGCTAGGCTCTCTTTTTGCTTCCAACTCGACTCGACGGGGGGAACACACCGCCGAACATCCCGCGGTGTGAGTAATCCATTAGGGAAGTGCTGTTTACACAGCGCTCGGTGCATGAATCACTCCTTTTTCTGGACGTCAACAAGTCGAGTGGGCCTGATGGAGTTCCACCTATTGTGCTGAAGACGTGTGTTCCGGAGTTGACGTCGGATTTAACACGTCTTTTTCGGTACTCCTACTCCCTAGGCGTAGTCTCGAACTCATGGAAGACAGCTTTGGTGCACCCAATGCCTAAAAAAGGCGACCGCTCAGATCCGTCCAATTACAGGCTTATCGCTATCATCTCCTTGTTTTCCAAATTAATGAAAACCATTATTAACCGCCAGCTCATGCTGTACCTTGAGAATCACCAGCTGATTAGTAACCGCCAGTGCGGTTTCCGTCGAGGCCGCTCAACTGGTGATCTTTTAGGTTACCTATCTCATAGATGGGCGAATGTAGTGGAGTCCAAGAGGGAAGCGTTGACCGTTAGTTTGGACATAGCGAAGGCTTTCGATTGGGTTTGGCACAAAGCGCTACTTTCAAAGCTGCCTTCCTATGCGCTTCCCGAGAAATTGTGCAATTGGATTACCAGTTTTCTTGCAGATCGGAGCATCAAGGTCGTAGTAGACGGTGCGTGCTCCGATTACAAGCCCATTATCGCTGGTGTTCCACAGAGCTGCGTGCTATCACCAACGCTGTTTCTTCTGCATATCAATGATGTGTTGCGAACCAGTAATATTCATTGCTATGCAGACGACAGCACTGGTGATGTTTTATACACCGGCCGTGCCAATATTTCTCGGGAAAACGTTGCCGATTACCGGAACAGCTTGTGTCTGAAGTCGAGACTTTGTTGAACAAAGTCTCAGTTTGGGGGCGACTAAATCTAGTCCAGTTCAATCCCCAGCTAAAAATAACCACTTTCTCGCATCTCCACAGTTTCAAGGCACTCCCCTTGTTGCCTCAGCTAGTATCGGTATCCTCGGTGTCGACATATGGAGTGACAGTTTCGTGGTCACTTGGAAGAGAAGGCCAAATTGGCCTCTAAAAAGCTTCGCGTGCTTAGCATAGCGGGACAGTATTTCATGCAGGTCATCGCTTGCAACTTTACAAGGCGCAGGTTTGGTCTCACATGGAATACTGTTCACATCTATGGGCAGGGCTCTTCAGTGCCAGCTACTTTCACTTGACCGCATTCAGCGCAGAATGGTTTGAATCGTCGACAAACGAGTTCTTTCCGATCGGCTTGACTATCTGGAACTGCGTGGAGATGCTGCATTTCTTTGCGTATTTTATCGCATCTATCATAGGGAGTACTCTGAGGAATTGTTCGGACTAATTTCAGCCGTTCAATTTCACAATATCACATCGCGACAAAACTCGCGATACCATCCATATCATCTGGATGATTGGCGGTCCACCACTGTGCGATTTACCATACTAACGCTCATAAGAGAGATTTTAACCCTAGAGGTCAAATAAGAGGTGATAAGGGAATTAAATATCGAAAAATAATTAAACCATTATTTTCCGAGACCTTAATCAAATATAAAAAAATCGAAGAAAAGCTTGGAGGTAATTTACCTAAGCTTAAGAAATATAAAATCAACACTCATATTGTATATTGGGACGATCCAAATGAATTAGTTTATGGATTAAAACTTTTAATAGCTTCAAGAGATGCGGGCATAACAAACCATAATAATGAAGTTTTATCAATCATTGAAGAATTAAAAGAAGCTAACATTATAAAGGAATAAAATATTAATTATTACTAGCTTTAACTCAGTATTGGTGAAGTTGCTCATGTTGCAAGTTCATGTTAAAAAATTGTCTATATTTATTTAAGTAACAAGTAGCATAAACGAATTATTTTAATAACTACCAACATAAGAATAAAATAAAATTCATTATTTTTTTGAACGTGAGTAAAGCCGATGTAGTAAATGAAATTCATAGAAATGCTAGGGTAATTTCCCACGTAGAAATGTTATTACGAAACATATAGATGATTTATGGCAAGCAGACTTAATTGATATGCAATCAGTTTCTAAGAAAAACAAAAACTTTAGATTTATTCTTACCGTTATTGATACATTTTCGAAATACGCTTGGGCTTTTCCAATTAAGACTAAAAAAAAGGACGTATGCTATAATTTTATGAAGCTCCTAAAAACACGTGTACCCAAAATCTGCAAACCGAAAATGGAACAGAATTTTATAACGATAAGTTTAAAAAAATTATGAATTCTTATAATATTAATCATTACTCAACCTTTTCAACAAAGAAGGCTTCCATAGTTGAACGATTTATTCGAACTTTGAAATCTAAATTGTATAAAGCATTTAGTTTACAGGGTAATTATAACTGGATAGGCGATACTCTTAATAATGTTATTTACGAATACAATCACACTTATCATAGAACTATTGGTGAAATTCCAGCCAATGTTAATAATAAAAGTAAAAAAGGAATACTACAGAGATACCTTAGATTGGTAAAGAATGATAATATAGGAATAATGCGAGGAAGTTTTATAACATAATTATCAACTAAATCTCTAGCAGCAGCTATAGCTAGCTCAATTGCTGCTTTCTTGCATTTGGTTTAAATTTTTGCATACGTCTTTTCGTTTTTGTAATGATATTCTTAAACTTATTTTTAAATTCATTCCCCAACTTTCTCGGAGACATTTTATTACTATTGTCATTATTTAGGCCAGCCCCAGTTTTAATTTTTGATTGCATATAGCTTTGCTTACTATCTTTGTTGCTAACTTTTCTCCCAAATTTGCATCGGGAGCAATTTCTCGTGTTTTTACAACACTAAATTTAACAAAACTAAATCCGCCTTATGTCGATCCTTTAAGTTTGAATATTTGTGATACGCAATGTCGTGTTCTTTACAATATTCGTCTAATTTGTTTATGCCTTTGAATCCACGTGATAGTTTTTTGATTAAATTTGTACCAGGACCACAATAATTGTATCCCGGTAAATTGTAATTCGAATGGTAAATTATTAATCAACCGATTGAGAAGACTACTCTCACCAATGGACATCATAAGACTGTTTAATCGTGCTTGGGATATTTATTAAATATACCATTTTTTCTTATTTGTTCTTAATGTTAAACACAGTGGTCAGTAAGTCTATTACAATATATTTGACTTATCGATCCAACTGTTTTCAGTAGAAGACAAACCTAGCCATTTTACTAAAACTTTATTTCCTTTCCTTCTTAAAACTTTTTCAACTAAATACGAGTATATGTTTGGATTTTTGGTCTTTTGTAGCTCTTGCGCATAAAATTCTCCTAAAATTGGTTGACCTCTAATTGTATCTTCAATTAAGTAAATGGTTGGAATTGTGTTCTGTAATTTTCGAATTTTAAATATTTTTGTCGACCAAATTGGAGTATATCCTTTTTCGAATGTACCTTTGTATTTGCTTATACGCACATAATCACCTACTTTAAACTTTATCCTATAAAAAAGACCCATACGAACCAATATTTAAACGGTAAATCCCACCATCATCCTTCACAGTTACCTACCGTGGGTAAGTCTTTATTATGATTGTTACGGGGGATCTGTGGTGTCAAGCAGGTTCTGCACGACAACAAGCTTCAACAAGTCATAGTGACGGAGTGAATTCAGCCACAGTCAGCGTGTGCCTGCTGTACTACCATATGTCAGAGATCAATATGTATATATAATAATCAGATGTAACCTGAACCTCTCTACCCTCCAGACGTTTTTCTTAAGATATTAAGTCTCAAAGCTTTTTTACATTTTATAAGTATATTATATATATAATTTATATTAAATAAGAACCAATCTAAGCCAGCATTAAAACTTAGATTTACCTTTGTACTTTCGTTTTTAAACTTTATTTTGAACTGAATATTGTTCCATTATCATATTTAAGAAAATGCTTTTATATTATTAAAATTCAGTACCCGATTACTGTCTCACATGTAAAAGGTGACAAATATAGTAAGGCGAAACGACTTAGCTTAACAAAAGCCTATTTTTCTTGCTTTGCAAACACACATAACTCATAGTAGATTATTATAATTTAATTTATTTATGGCATTTTTTTTAATTCTTAGAAATAATAGAGTATCTTTAACGTACTACAATTCAGACTAAAAGATGTACATCGTAAACTACAGTAAGCTTTCTTAAAGATTGCAAAATGTTCAAAGTGTAATTAAGTTATTAAATTATATCAGCTATTTCAGTGTTGAATTCGTCTCATGGGGGGATTTTGCCATAGTCACCACGCTTGGCAAGCGGATTGGCAACCGCAGTTTATTATTATTTTAAATTGTTATTGTGAAGATGCTGCTTCCTATCTTCTATTTCGTTTTCACTCTGTCGTCTTATAGATATAGATATCCTTAACCGTCACTCCACGGTTAGTTGATTTTTGTCTATCGTTTTTATTTGAACGCCCAGTGACCGAAAATCCCTGTTGTATATATGAGAGAATATGAGACGGTATAATTGGAGGTGTCAATATTTTAACAAAAGATTGCAAATTGCTCTACCAATTTTTTTTATTTTTAGTGCTCCTTTTTGAGCAATATTTTAAAAAAGAAATAAAGAAACTTTACTCACCGTTACAAAGCAACAATGGTAATGTGTAAAAAATGGTACTGGTAATTAATAAAAAAAACAATACTTGTTAATTAATTACAATGTAGCGTACATTACATTAGCAATATGATACACCGCCTACAACTTTACAAGGCGTAATTTCGGCATAACATGAAGTTTTATTATTCCCCCTCTGGTCCGAGGCTCCCCGGTGACAGCTTGTTCTATTGGATGGCATCCAGCGCAGAGCGGTTCGAATCGTCGGCGACCAAGCTCTTTCTGATTGGCGTGACTCACTGACACTGCCAAGAGATGTCGTATCTCTTTGTATATTTTATCGCATCTACCACGGGAATGCTCTGAGAAAATGTTCGGAGCTATTCCAGCTGCTCAATTTTAACATTGCATATCGTAACAAAACTTCGCGATACCATCCAAACCATCTGGATTATTGGTGGTCTACCACTGTGCGATTTACAAGAAGTTTGTTCCCCGCAAAACTTCTTTTTGGAATCGATTACCACCAGCGATTTTTTCGGACCGATACTACTTATTTACCTTCAAGAAAAGAGCCTACTCTTTTTTAAAAGGCCGGCAATGCACCTGCAATTCCTCTAATCTTGCAGTTCATGGGCAGCCGCATGCTCATATGCCCCCGTTTTATAACAAAACAAAACTGCAGCAAGCCACGATGTTAAAGGAGGCCTATTAGTGGCGTTGACTTAGCACTGTTATTCAAAAGATGCCACTAACAGGCCTACGAGTAATCATCATTTACAGTTGTACAATCAATCACATTAGAAATGCAATTATTTACGTAAAATATGTTTTGTATGAAGTGCGTTTTTCTAGGAAACTGGGAAGTGAAAATACTCGGAGTAAAGAAATATCGGTACTTTAAACTTAAAGTAAGTTAATAATTCGATCGCCATAAAACATTGCACATTGTACTAAGCTATTTAAAGGATCTCGCCCAATGGGAAGTAAAAACAAGGTCGCTACTATAAATCTCCACGCCTTTTCACAAGGGAGTGATGTATTTCAAAGCAAATCTATTTTGCGCCATTGGGCTTTTTAACCTTTAATTGTTTCTACTATTTTAAAAAATTAATTCTATTTTCGAAAGTGCCAATGTTGTTTTTTTTATTTTTAAGGAAGTTAAGAACGAGCTTAGAATTATTAAACACAAGTGTACGCGCAGTACGCAAGTGTAAGCTGTTAGTACTGTAATTAGATGCGGTATTGTTCGACAAGACTAAGAATCAAGGACAAAACAACCAGAGGTAATACAAACAAAGTTACTTACGACCTGATCTGATCTAATCTGAACTCAGTTTTTCTGATAGTAAATGGATTCTGTAGCCCATTGACATCTACATCTATGCTCGATTAAGAATTAAAATAGAGATTCGTTTCCCAAATTATTTGAAAAACGAATATCCATTTTGATTGGCCTATTATGAGCAGATGAAGAAGAAAAAAATAAATCTTTCAAAGCACGGCTCCGTGACGCTAAGGCTTAACAAACAATGAGTTGCGACGTGGACTGCCGTGGGTTTGAATTTCGTACGTAATAAGTACTTGCATGGCCTACAAATAATTGTTCTGGATCTGGATGTTACGATCTCCGCGATATAGTAGAAAATCTAAGTATGGAGGTAACTTTTTTTAGAGGTGAGGAAAGTATTTGGTAGAACATTAATAAGCCCATATAGCAAGTGGCTATTGCATTCCATAGACATCTGATCTTATAATATCAAAATTACATAATGAAGATAACAAAACAAATATTCACTCAGAGATAATCTATGATTCGATGAATACACATTTATATGTATATTTAATTATACACAAATTTGTCCAGAGCAATGATTTTAGCTAGCTAAATGTAGTCCCCTTAAATAGCATTATATCGGTGTTTATTGTGAAAAGCTGTAATGACGATGATGATGATGATAGCATTCTATTTTAGATCTCAGAAATAACATTACATCAGCTTTCCGCTTCTTACGAGGATTGCTGTCTCACAGTGAGGCAGTTATTTATTTACCACATCATCACCAAAGAGCGTGTTTCTAACCCTAATGACCCAAATAAATTACGTAACAAGGGTACAATTACCAGTGTAATCGATGCAATAAGATGCCGTACTGCATTAACAGGGCGACACAGAAGTTTTCTTTCTGGATATCTTGAGGATTCTGGATTCTGGATTCTTGGATATCTTTTTTTCGGCGGTAGGTGTTAAAAAAGTAGACAGTGTGCTCCTTATTTATTATAAATTAAAATTGCTTTTATGGAGTAATTACTCTTTATTTTTACATTCAGTTGTAGATTACTTACATATACATTCAGTGACATAAAAGGTGTAGAGTTTTATGTTCAAATAATTTTTTTTTTTGTCCTACCTATCCACCGGCTAACCTCTAAACACATTTTCACTGCACTTCAAAATGGCTTCATATGATCTCATAGTTTAAAAACAGCTGACTATTGAGTCAAATATAACGAAAAAACTATCTGAATTTGAATCTCAGTTAAAACCAGCTGCATCACAAACAACATTGATACGTCTTCAAGAAGAGTTCCAGGAATTTAAGGCCCAAGTTTGGAGTATAATGGGTCTCCTTCGTCAACAAATTTCAGAGTGCTCAAAGTCCATGGACATAATTGAAATGAGACACAGAAGGAAGTATCTTTTGTTTCATGGTATTCCAGAAGATACCACAGGCGACTTGTCAAGCTATATTGGTAATGTGTTCTCTGATAAACTTAAAATTCAAGACTTTAATTCCAATGCTCTGAGTGTGTGCCATCGTTTAGGTAAATTAGTTGACGGCAAATGCAGACCAGTCTTGGTCCGCTTCTCAGATTCAGCTGTGAGGTCAACGGTGTGGAAAAAGAAGGCTGGACTTAAGGGCACATCAATTGTAGTGTCAGAGTTCCTCACACGTCATCGACAATCTCTGTTCATGCTTGCTCGAAAGCGTCTGGGCATCCGCAACTGCTGGACTGTTGACGGAAATATTATTATAAAGACTCATAATGGGTTACGCCATCGCATTACTACTGAGGAAGACCTTTCGGCTGTTGTTGGTGCTTCAGACAATGAATATAATGATGCTGTCAGAGGCGAGAAGTGTCCATCTGCTTCCTCCGTAGCTGCGGCCTCATCTGACCAGCTGTCGAAGGCTAAGAGATCCGCTAGACATAAAAAATAATCCTCATTGTTGTTTGCATACTTTCTGTGTAGTTTTTATTCACTTCCAACAATTCGCACTTCATATTGTCACTGTTCATTACATATTTCCTTATAGGTACTTTTGTTTGTGGATCTATAGGTATGTGAATTTCTTTCTGTGGTGGGTACCTTTTTCATTTTCTCGAATGTTTTTACTTAAAAATGTTACTTTTGCTAACATAGTGAAGTATGTTATTAATGTCAACAATACTCATCGGTCAGTGTCATGATATGTAAGTTGTCAGAGATAGGCAAAGATCGCACGACCATGCAGCTTTTTTTTTTTATTGTACTAGTTTAGTTAGCTTATTCCTCACTGTCATTCAGTTATTGCATTGAATTTTGTCTTAGCCATATCAATAATTTTCTGGCCATTTTTTTTTTCTTTTTGTTAATTTTCTTTTAAATTTTATTTTTAGTTTGTTTTCGAATTTTGTTTTAATGTGTTTCTCCTAAGTTTTTATTTAGTAAGTAATAAGTTATTTATGTTTAGGATATCGTACTAAAGTTTCACTAAATAATTACTAATTTGTAATAATCGCATGCTTGATGTCATTATCTTAGTTTTTAATACTTATGTTATTGATTTGTTATTTGTGATTAATGATGTCCAGATTTCTTTTTTTTTCTTTTGCACTAATTGAAAATAATATTATGCTGTTTAAATATTCTGTTATGTTTAAGCGGCGGGATTGGTAGTAGACATAATATTGCCTTTTTTTTATCATTATAATATATACGTGTTATTTTGATATTTACTTATATTTTATATTGTACTTATTTATGTATATTTGTTTATAATGTCCGATGATGAATCATTCTATTCTGCTAACGATTCTTCAACAAGCCTTGACTCTTTCGATGAGCCGGAAACTCTCCGCAACGTGCTTGATAAATCTTTAGAACATCTCCCCTCTTCTTTTAAAGTCTGCCATTTGAATGCACAGAGCATACCCTCTCATTACTCTGACCTTTTAGATACTTTCACTTCTGCCTCTTCAAATGTGCAGGCCATTCTAATTTCTGAAAGCTGGCTGAAGCCCTCTCTTTCAAATGTTTCTTACAGCTTACCAGGCTTTGTCTTGATTAGAAATGATAGATTAGGTAAGGGTGGGGGAGGTGTTGCAATTTATCTACGGTCCGACTTACGTTATTCTGTAATTGCATCCTCACCTTCACAATACTCTGCTTCGGCTGAATATTTATTCTTGGAAATTCAGGTGGGGCGTTCCAAATTAGCACTTGGGGTTGTTTACTGTCCTCCTTCTGTTGATTATTTCTCCAGCCTAGAAATGGTCTTAGATTCTGTATGTGCAGACTATACACATCACATTATCATGGGCGACTTCAATACTGACCTCCTCAAAACTTCTTTGCATTCAAGTAAGCTCATAAATATCTTGTCTTCAGTAAATTTATCCATCCTTCCCTGCTCTCCTACTCACCATAACCTTGACTCCCCGGATACCTGGCTAGATCTAATAATCACGTCCTGTCCTAATCTAGTCAATAAATATGGTCAGTTGTCAGCTTCCGGCTTTTCGCGTCATGATTTACTTTACCTTGCATATAGGTTGAAGTTTGCAAAAGTTGAACCCGAGATACTTTTGGTTCGCTGTTAAAATAAAGTTAGCCCAACGAAGCTTCTGATTGATGCAAAGGCCATCGACTTCTCGCCTGTGTATTGTGCGTCATCAGTTGACGATAAAGTATCTATTTTCACTAAATTAACACTGAAACTGTTTGATGCGCATGCACCGGTGAAATCTATTAGGGCTAAGCGGCCACTAGCTCCGTGGATAACGAAGGGTGTGCGCATGGCGATGACTCGACGCAACCGAGCTTTCAGAAGGTTTAAGCGTGACAGGAGCAATGAGAATTGGGACTTGTACAAAATTGCTCGCAATCGTTGCAACCAAATGGTAAGGGCGGCAAAGCGTCGTTACTTCTTTGACAATATATCTAGTGCTTCTTCGGCGGATACTTGGAAATTTCTTAATTCTCTTGGTCTATGTAAATCCTCCACTATGAAACATAACATCCCATTCCCTCTAAATGACATAAATTCTTATTTTTCTACAGGTTCCTCACTCTCTCCAGTTATTAAGTCCCAGTCAATCTTAGAAATTAATTCCAAGGCCAAACCTTTACAAATACCCTTCTTTTTCTCGCTTGTCTCTGTTAACGATGTTCGTAAAACATTTGCTTCTATTAAATCAAAAGCAGTGGGTTGTGATAATGTGAGTCGTGCTATGATCTCTTTAGTTCTCGAACTCTTTCTTCCAGTCATTACTCACATCATTAATTTTTCTCTGTTGTCAGGGGTATTTCCTTCTTTGTGGTGTAAAGCCTATATAATTCCGCTTCCTAAAATTTCAAACCCCTTGCAACTCAATAATTATAGACCTATTTCTATTCTTCCTTTCTTATCAAAGATCCTGGAATCTATAGTTCACCGGCAAGTATCAGGTTTTATATATAATAATAACTTGCTCACTCAATTTCAGTCGGGCTTTCGTCCCGGACATAGCACCACCACTGCACTTCTTAAAGTTACAGAGGACATTCGGGATGGCCTGGAGAATAGAAAGGTCACTGTGCTTGTTCTCGTGGACTTTTCTAATGCCTTCAACATGGTTGACCATGATATTCTCCTCGCTATGCTCGGTAATCTAAACTTCTCCTCCATTGCTTTAAATTGGTTCTCCTCCTACCTTTGTGGTCGCCAACAAGCTGTTCGAGTTGGTAATCATTTGTCTGACTGGTGCCAGCTTGTATCTGGGGTGCCGCAGGGTGGAATATTATCTCCTTTATTGTTCTCTATTTTTATTAACTTCAGTTCCTCTCAACTTTGCTGCTCTTATAAATAATAATAATTAATAATAATAATAATAATAATTAATATACTGTATTTGCATATTGACTAAACATTGTATAATAATGAATATTGTTAAGTTTTGTTTTTGTTAAATGTTATCGGCACCCACGGAAGATCAGTGTCGAAGTACTTTGTTAGTACCAAGACTATGCTGAGTTGGGTACCTTTTTAGTAACCGTTTATCTTAATATGTTATTATGGTTAGCAAACTTCTAAAATGTGTTACTAAATAAACTTATTTTCTTTCTTTCTTTCTTTCTTTCTTTCTCTTACCATTTCTACGCCGACGATTTGCAAATTTATACTCAGACTGATGTGGATCACATTAATAATGCTGTTATCAATATTAATACAGATTTATTAAATTTAAGCAATTGGGCTAGCAAATTTGGCATTCTAGTGAATCCTAACAAATGCCAAGCAATTTTGATAGGAAGTGCTCGTCAGTTATCTAAACTTGATATTTGTTCTGTCGCTCCTGTCATGTTTGATGGATCATGCATCCCTTATTCCAGCACTGTGAAAAACCTAGGCCTCTGTATGGACTCAACTCTCAATTGGTCCACTCACATTCAAACAATAAGTGCTTCAGTTACTGCTAAGTTGGGTGCCCTAAATCGCCTTAGAAACTTCCTTCCGGTCAAGGTAAAGATAACTCTGGTGCAGTCTCTTATTTTGCCCATTATTGATTACGCTGATGTGTGTTGTACTGATCTTAACGAGAACCTTCTAGACAAGCTGGATCGTCTCGTAAATAACTGTGTCCGATTCATCTTCTGTCTTCGCAAGTTTGACCATGTTTCCTCCTTTAGATTTCAGCTAAATTGGCTTCCCATTCGCCAACGGAGGCAAGTCAGGACACTTCTCACACTCTTTTCTATTTTATTCGACAATCGTTGTCCCGACTATTTGAAACGTTAAGTTTCAATTTCTATCTGATACGCATAATAGACCTCTACGTTCTTCGGAGACTCTTACGCTCTCCATTCCACTTCACCGTTCCGGTTTCTCTTCTTCCTCGTTTGCTGTACGAGCTGCGCGACTTTGGAATGCACTGCCTGAAACTTTGAGACAACGCTCCAACAAAGTAACATTTAAAAAGTATGTTAAAGAACATTTTCTGGAAGTCGTTAAGAACTCCTAAGTTGGCGTCACCATCTTAGTTAATCTGTGTTAATAGCTAATTTCATCATAATATGTTTTATACGTATATATGTATATTTGTGTGTATATATGTATTTACATGTGAATTTGTGTATATATATATGTGTGTATGTGGTTTGTATATATATATATATATATATATATATGTATGTA